TAGAGTTAGTTTATTCTGATCTTTGGGGACCAGCTCCAATTAACTCCAGGGCAGGATTCAAGTATTATATCATATTTGTTGATAATTTTAGCCGTTTTACTTGGATTTATCCTCTGAAACTCAAATCGGAAGCTTATGGAGCATTTGTACAATTTCATTGCTTTGTGGAAAAACAGTTAGGTTATAAACTAAAGAGCCTACAAACTGATTGGGGAGGTGAATATAGATCATTCAGTAGTTATTTACAGCAGAATGGTATTTTATTTAGGCATCCATATCCACATTTACACCAACAAAATGGGAGAGTGGAGAGGAAACACAGAACTATTACAGAATTTGGGTCATCCCTTCTAGCTCATGCTGGTATGCCACTAAAGTATTGGTGGGAAGCCTTTAGCACAACCATATACCTGATAAATAGATTACCCACCTCAGTACTTGAATCTGCCTCACCATATTTTGTTTTGTTTTGTTTAAGCAGCAGCCCAACTACACTGAATTGAAGGTATTTGGCTGTAGTTGTTATCCTTACTTAAGACCATATCACAGACACAAACTCTCTTATCACACTGAGAAGTGTGCTTTTCTTGGATACAGCCTTGCCCATAAAGGATACTTGTGTTTGGTCTCCACTGGCAGATTGTATATTGCCAAGCAAGTCAAGTTTAATGAGACAGATTTTCCCTTCAAAGGTGATTTTGGTTCTCTCACAATACATAGGTGTACCTCTCCAGTTGATCTTAGTTTGAACACCTCGAGTAGCTCATGGATTCTACCTCAATGTGTTCCTGAACCAGAATATATTCAACCTGCTACCACATCCAATCCTGTCCAATATCACCATTACAACCTAATTCAGAATCTGTTCAACCTGCTACCACATCCAATCCTGCTCCAATATCACCATTACAACCTACCTCAGAACCTATTCAACCTGCTGCTACATCCAATTTTTCTCCCGTATCATTAGTTCAACCGGATAAGTCTGATACATCAGTTATAAATGCAGATTCCTCCTTCCTTGAATCAGACTTAACACATACTGGCATCAACTTAGAAGTAGTTCTTCCATTGCCCTCTATCTCATCTCTAAACACACATCCCATGATAACCTGATCAAAGTCAGCCACTTATCCTGGTTCCACTGCCTATCAAGCTGAAGTTACTCATATTCCTATTCTTCCAGAACCTAAAATAGTTACTGAAGCATTATTAAGTCCTGAATGGAAACAGGCCATGGACTCTGAATATCAAGCTTTGATGAGCAATAACACATGGGAGATTGTTCCTTATGAAGAGGGAATGAATATTGTAGGATACAAATGGGTGTTTAGAACAAAATTAAACTCTGATGGGACACTTCAAAAGTATAAGGCCAGGTTGGTGGCTAAAGGCTTTCAACAAACACTCGGTCTAGATTATTTTGACACGTTTTCTCCGGTTGTTAAAGCAGCCACAATCCGAGTCATGTTATCCTATACAGTGCACCAAAATTGGGAAATCCAGCAGTTGGATGTTAATAATGCGTTCCTGAATGAGGAACTAACTGAAACTGTCTTTATGCTTCCTCCTGGAGGATATTCTGGTCCTGCAGCAGCCAAGGGTCATCCTGAGCAGGTTTGCAAACTTCGTAAAGCCTTATATGGTCTAAAACAAGCTCCTAGAGCTTGGTTTGATAAACTCAAATCTGTCTTAATCAGTTGGGGTTTTGAAAATTCTATTTCAGATGTGAGTTTGTTTTTTTACAAAAAGGATTTCAAATTAATGTATTTGTTAGTGTATGTAGATGATATCCTTGTAACAGGGAATGATTCTGAGCTCATATCAAGCTTAGTTAAAGACTTGAATAGCAAATTTGCCCTAAAAACTCTTGGTACAGTGCAGTACTTCCTGGGGTTTGAGGTAAAGAGAAATGATTCTGGTTTACTGCTGTCCCAGACCAAATATGCACATGATCTTCTCCTTAAGGCAGGAATGGCAGATTCGAAGCCTTGTTCCACTCCCATGGCTAATAGTCTTCGACTTGGCAAGGAGGATAGTAAAGTGTTTGAACAACCTACACTGTATAGAAGTGTCATTGGTGGACTTCAATATCTGACACTATCTCGGCCAAACTTAGCTTTTGCTGTCAATAAGCTCAGTCAATTTTTGCAGCAGCCCACTGAAGCTCATTGGACAGCATGTAAACGAATCCTCAGATATGTCAAGGGAACATTGCAGCATGGTATTTTTTTTACCAAGAAACAGTCCTTTACTTTAGAAGCATTTTCAGATGCTGATTGGGCTGGAGATGAAATTGATAGGAGATCCACCAGTGGGTACAATGTATTTCTTGGAGGTAACTTGGTCCAATGGTCATCTAGAAAACAGAAGGTAGTGTCCTTATCTTCTACAGAAGTTGAATACCGATCTCTTAGTCAAACAGCCACTGAACTTGTTTGGATTCAGAACTTATTCAAGGAACTTGGCATTCATATAAACAACACTCCTATCATATGGTGTGATAACATGAGTGCTGAGGCATTATCCTCAAATCCAGTGTTTCATGCCTGAACAAAGCACATCAAAATTGATGTACATTTTGTTAGGGAATTAGTTACAAAAAGGTTGTTAAATGTGCAGTATGTTTCATCTGAATATCAGATAGCTGATATCCTAACTAAAGCCCTTCCTTGTTCACGGTTTGCTATGCTACGGGAAAAGCTAACTGTCACATCTGAGCTTGCAACCAGTATTCACAGTAGTTAGGAGATATAGTTTGTAATGTAGTAGGAGTTTGTGCAGAAATTTTTGTTTGTGATGCAGTTAGAATTTGCAGCAGTAAATATGGTTTGAAGTCTCTGCAACAGGAAATCTGTTTTGTGTTGCAAGTGGAATGTTGCAGGTTGGTTATTGTTTATGTTGCAGTGGAATGTTGTAGTTTGGTTGTTGTTTGTGAGGCAGTGGAATTTTTCAGATTGGTTGTTGTTTGTGTCGCAATGGAATGTTGCAGTGGAATGTTGCAGCTTGGTTGTTGTTTGTGTTGTAGTGGAATGTTGCAGATTGGTTGTTGTTTGTGTTGCAATGGAGTGTTGCAGTTTGGTTGTTGTTTGTGATGCAGTGGAATGTTGCAGTTTGGTTGTTGTTTGTGATGCAGTGGAATTTTTCAGATTGTTTGTTGTTTGTGATGCAGTGGATTTTTTTTTAGTTTGCAGAAACTTGGTTGTTGTTTGTGAAGCTGTAAGATTTTGCAGGAAGCAGATATGGTTTGGAGTCTCTGCAACATGAAATCTGTTTTGTGATGCAGTGGAATGAAAGCTGTTTTGTGATGCAGCATATATGGTTTGGAGTTTCTGCAACATGAAATCTGTTTTGTGATGCAGTGAAATGCAGTGGAATGAAAGTTGTTTTGTGATGCATGGGAATGAAATATGCTATTTTGTGATACAGTGGAATAAAATCTGTTTTGTGATAAAGTGGAATTTTTGAAAGAGCTGAGTTGTTTGTGATGAATGATATTGATTAAGAAAGAGTAATAAAGTCAGTTTAGGGGCTTTGGCTTACGGGAAGATATTGATCAAGAAAGATTAACTAAATCAGTTCAGGGGCTTTGGTTTACGGGAAGATATTGGAATAAGTATAAGAAGCAGGGTTGTTTCTGCAAAGATTAGAAGTTGAGTAGGGTTGTTTTTGTAAAGAAACAAAAGTTGTAACAGACTATATAAAGTCATCTGTAACTGATCTGCTTTACCAATTTTTCAATAACAGAACACTTGAAACAGATTTTTCCCTTTTTCTTTTCTCTCTTAATTCGTTCACTGCTTCAGTTCTCTTTTCAATTCAGCTATTAATCCTTCAGCCACTGAGATTGTTGTCTCTTGTTTACTAGTTCTCTTGCTGCAATGGCAATTCTCAAAGTTTGAGTATAGGCAAGAGTAGTAAGAGAAATGAGACTGCCTGAGTATGCCTAAGAAGAGAAAGAGAGAACAAAAATATTTTATGTATTCAATTGTATATTGTGTGTTTGTACAATGTTCAATTTATACACATTTGTAACAGTAAAGAAAGGAAATACCATCATGTCATGAAGGCCTAATCACACAAATTATGCTAACGGAATATTTGACATTCAAGAGATAATATCAATCACTCCAATCACTCTATGATTATCTCCATCAGATCTCAATCATTCCATGATTGTGGTCATCAGCAATGACAGAGTTCATATCTTTTGATTTGGGGAATTGACAGAAGCAAACTGATTACTATTAGAATCCCTTTTTTTTTTAAAAGAACCCAATATGATTTAAAAAGCAATTTACCTGTTAGAACTCATCCTAATCCACAAATACATAATATTAGGCAGGCAGGCAAGCATCGATCTTCGGAGAAAAGAGATGAAAATAATAAAGAATAAGGCAAGGCATCTTCCGAGAAAACAAGATGAAAGTGAAAATAAAGTATAATAATTGTCAATTGTCACAGGGGTGGTCTTGATCACCTCCACCGAAAGAGGGAACAAAAAAGCGAAAGCACTTAAATTTTTAACTATTCTTAAGCAATCATGTAATCAACAAACAAAAATTGAAAAATGAAAAAGCAAACAAAACGTCAGTAAGAGTTAGTTTAATCCCTAATTTTAGAAATAATCAGCTTTAAAAATATTTTGGAATGTGTTTAATAAATGATTTCTAATTGTGTAATTGGTAAATTAAATATTTGAAAATATTTTTATAATTCTAAATTTATATTTTATACGTATTTAATAGATATTAAAATAATTTATGTGCGGGGCCTTGATGTAGCTTCGCCCCTGCTTTGGTTCATGAACCTTTCGAGAAAGTTTTGATTAATTAATCAACATTATAAAATAAAATTAAGTTAGTATAACCTTAAAAAATTTTGCGCAGGGCATGCGTCTTCCTGGAATAAAGATGAAAAAATAAAAAGAAAAAGGCAGGCAACTTCGGGGAAACAAGTTGAAAAAATAAAATAGAAAAAGGAACAGCAATCAATCAAAGACAGAGATCACTCCTTTACTCTCTTATGTAATGTTTTAGTTTAGCCCTCTACGTTTTGTTAATCTGCAGTGCCTCTGATCACTGGAACTTAATGACTTCCTCTTCTTCTTCTTCTTCTTCTTCTTCTTCTTCTTCTACTAGTACTCCTAAACTAAAGTACAAAGTTTTTCTTAGTTTCCGAGGGGCGGAGACCCGGAAAAACTTTACAAGCCATCTGTATGATGCCTTCAGCCGGGAAAATATCAATACTTTCATTGATGATAAACTTGACAGAGGAGAAGAAATTTCTCCAGCTCTTTTGAGAGCAATTGAACAGTCAAAGATCTCGGTTATCATTTTCTCTAAACGGTACGGTTCTTCGAGATGGTGTCTTAAAGAACTTGAAAAGATTGCTGAATGCAAGAAAAAGTATAGTCAGATTGTAATTCCCGTATTTTATCACGTTGATCCATCACATGTAAGGAAACAAACTGGGGATTTCGGGGAAGGATTTTCTCAGCTTGAAAATCGTTTTAAGGATGATGATCCAGAGATGTTGCAAAGATGGAAGACTGCTTTGAAAGACATAGGCAACCTATCTGGCTTTGTTTCAAATAACACTAGGTAATTGTTAGTTCATTATCAATAATGTCTTTTATGTAGTAATTTTACTTTCAGCTGTTTTTTTTATTTTTTATTTTACTTTATCTTTTCAAAATTACTATTGTTTAATTTTTATTTTACAAATGAAAATATTGAAACTTTAATATTTATTAATGTTATATTTTTATCAATACAACTTCCCGAATAAATGATAAAGAAAATAAAGGAAATCATTCTAGCATGAGGAAACCTATAAAAGTAGAATATGATTTATTAGGTTATAAAGAATTTGTCCTATATCAAAAACTTAATTTGTTAAGTTTGTATTATATTTGTTTTATTTATTTATAATCTACAATTTCGATTAGTTTATTTTTTGCTTAATTATTGGATTGGATTATTAAATTTGTATACGATGTGCTTTGTTTATGATCTAAAATCTCATTTAGCTTTTTTTTAACCTTAACTACTGAATTGGGTAAAATTTTTAATTTATCATGTTATTTCGGATCTCTTCTGTTTCCTCGATTTTGTCCGAATCCTCATTTTCTTCCGAAAAAAGGGAAGGAGAAGGATCTTCTTCTGTGGATACCTTTTGTTATTGTTTAGTCCCCCTTGTTTTGAAAGTCATTTCTATTTCCCCATCTGTGACTTCTGCACTTTCCTCCCTTTTTTGCCTTTCAAAGGTTTCTTTCACTTTCAGTTTCTTAGTAAAAATGGGTGATTTAATTATTTGAGGGTGTATTTTAATTGTATAAAGTATTGAGGGCCTAAGAAACCTTATAACAATTTAAAAAAAGAAAAAAATTAGAGGTCCATCTTGGGCCTAATTGCCTCCGTCACTGTCAATAACATTAGGAAAACTAATTCTCATAGGGAAAAAAAAAAAAAAAAAATGTTTCCTCCCAACAATTACATTCCTTTGATAAAGGATATCTAATTATTACAAGGAAAATCATAAAAATCCTAATTCTTTAAAAACCTGCTCTAATTAATAAGGAAAAGAAAATAAAAATAGAATTCATATGGGAAAGAAGAAAACCAAAGGGTTTGTAGACGGTTCTTTATTATGCCAACCTTATATTTTAAAATTTTGGGCAAATAGATCAGTTTAATACTCTATTCCATAAATTTTTCATATCCTACGATGGAAAACAAATCGTTCTTTAATCATTCATTCATAAATGTGATAAGTGAACACAAGATTTATAGACAACATACCTGAATGGCTTGTCACACGACCCGAGGCTAGTTGTTATCTTTGTTTCTTTCTCATTCATCTAATTTTAGTATTATTTTATTTATTTACTTTTTTTCCTTTTTAGGCATGAATCATCACTTGTGAATGATATTGTCAAAGATATTCTGAAGAAATTGAACAATGAGTGCTCAGAAATTGACAACAAGAACCTAGTTGGATTGGATTCAACAATTGAACGAATTGAAAATTTATTATGTATGCCTGGTGTTTGCAAGCTAGGAATTTGGGGCATTGGTGGCATTGGTAAAACAACTCTTGCTTGTGCTGTGTTCAGAAAAATTTGTACAAAGTTTGAAGCTTATTACTTTGCACGGAATATTAGAGAAGAATCAGAAAAAAATGGGGGATTAAATGACTTGCGCCAAAGACTTAGCTCTGCAGTTTTAGGGAATAAACATCCCAATACTGGAGTCACCTTGAAAAGAAGAAAACTTGGCCGTGTACTTATTGTGTTGGATGATGTGACAAAATTAGAACAAATGGAATATTTAATGCAAGATTTTGACTACTTGGAGTCAGATAGTCAAATAATCATAACGGCGAGGGATGAACACGTACTAAAACAATGCGGAGTGGATCCCATGCACATACTCGAGATGATGGGATTATCTGGTGTTGACGCTTCTCAACTTTTTAGCCAATATGCCTTTGGAGAAAACAGCCCACCAGAAGATTATATGGAGCTATCATTTATGGTGGTAGAATATGCCAAAGGTGTTCCACTTGCTCTTAAAGTTTTAGGTTCCTCTCTACTTGGGAGGCCAATACAAGCTTGGGAAAGTACTTTAAAACAGTTGAAAAGAATTCCTCATATGGATATTTATAAGGTATTAAAAGTAAGTTATGATGGGTTAAATGATGAACAACAGCAAGTATTTTTAGATATTGCATGTTTCTTCAAAGGGTGTAAAAGATATCTTATAGAAGAAATCTTGGATGCTTGTGGCTTCGCCTCATGTATTTATATAAATGTTCTCATTGAAAGGGGTCTCATAACTACAATATTCGACACCATCTCAATGCATGATTTAATTCAAGATATGGGACGAGAAATTGTTCGTCAAGAATCAACTAATAATCCTGGCGAACGTAGTAGGTTTTGGGATCCCGAGGAAATCTATTCGGTGTTGAAAAATAATACGGTGAGAGCCAAAGACACTGACTTTTTATTTCTACTCTATATATGATATATAATAAAAATATGATTGCAATATATTCGTTCCACTATCCTTGGGAATTAGCTCAACTGGTAAAGTGATTGGGTGGGAATCTAAGATGTTTTATATGAAAATTAATTACTTCACAGTTATTTTTTATTAATTGAAAGTAATTTATCATCGATCAACTCTTGAATTTTAGGGGAAAGGAACTATTCGAAGCATAAGCTTGGATGTGTCTAAAGCAAGAGACATACATTTAAAACCTAAAGCTTTCAAGAAGATGTATTACCTGAGGTTCTTGGAAGTCTATGGCTTCGCGCATGACAAGAAGGTACGTGGTTTTAACGACCTTACATCTGATTTCTCTGAGCTAAGGTACCTTTGTTGGCATCATTATTCTGCCGAATCATTGCCACCAAATTTCGATCCGGAGAACGTTGTTGCACTGTACATGACTTTTAGCAAAGTTAAACGACTTTGGACTGCTGTCAAGGTATGTGTTAATTTTTATATTACCATTTTGTCATTTAAATAGTAAATTTTTTTTTTTTTTTTTAATTTATTCAATTTTTTTCTTTGTTACAGAAACTTAATAATTTGAAACATATTGACCTTAGTCACTCCGAGCATCTACTCGAATTGCCGAATCTCTCATTATGTCCAAATCTTGAGACCTTGATTCTACAAGGTTGTACAAAATTGTATGTGGATTTCTCATGTATCTGTGATCTCAATAAGCTTGTCGTCTTGAATCTACAAGAATGTAAAACCTTTGAAAGACTTCCAATCAACCCTGGTTGGAGATCTCTCCGGAAACTTATTCTCTCCAAGTGTTCAAATCTCGAAACAGTTCCATATATTCCTGATATGGTAGAAGAGTTATATTTAGATGGAACTGGAATAAAAGAATTGTCATCATTAAAGCATCTTTTCAGCTTAGAAATATTGAATCTTGGAAATTGTTCAAAGTTAGAGAGTCTCCCAGAGAGCATTGGTGAGTCAGAAAATCTTCTAATACTTATTCTCTCCAATTGTTCAAAGATCGAAACAGTTCCATGCATCCCTACTAGTGTAGTAGAATTATATTTAGATGGAACTGCAATTGAAGAATTGCCGCCATTAGAGCATCTGTCTACGCTAGTAATATTGAGTCTTAAAAATTGTTTAAGACTAGAGAGTCTCCCAGAGAGCATTGGTGAGGTTAAATCTCTTCAATGTCTTTATCTTTCGGGTTCTTCAAAACTTGACAGATTGCCTAAAGGCCTGGAAAATTTAAAAGCACTGGAGGAACTTGAAGTGGAGGGAATTAGTATAACAGATATACCGTCGTTGCCTATAACATGTTTGAACAACCTTATGTCATTATCTTTCGCAAGATGTGGTTTTCAGAAGCCACCGAGTTCCCTACTGTTACAGTTGCCGGCCTGCCACAAACTGGAGAAGCTAAATCTGGAAGACTGTTGTATCGAAGTACTACCCAACAATCTTGGCGACTTACGCTCACTGAGATTTTTATATCTTGGCCGAAACAAATTTGAGAATGTGCCAGAGAGTATTAAAGACCTCTCTAAGTTGTATCAGCTTGATTTAAGCAATTGCCAGAGGCTGAAATCCTTACCGGAACTTCCAGAGAAGTTACTGCATATAGAAGCAAAGGGTTGCACATCACTGGAAGCATTATCAGGTTTGCCAACTCAATGCCTAAGTATGAGGACTAACAACGAGGAAATTAGCTTCATCAGTTGTTGCAATCTGAAAGTAGATTTGACAGCTGCGCTGCCGAATATTGAGAGAAATGCAGATGTATGGTTTGGCTCTGAAGTAAGTCTCTCTCTCTCTCATTCATATTATATAATATACAAATTTCATTCCCTACGTATATAAATAAAATGTTTTAGAATATTTAAACTTAAGGTTAGAAGTTGATGATTTTCTTGCCACAGGAAAACACAACATGGCTGTCAAGGGGTAACCTGCCAAAGGCTTCTATATGTTACCCTGGAAGCAAAATTCCAGATTGGTTTACCTTGAGAAGTCAGAATGGTTATATAGAGCTTCCACCAGATTGGCTCAATGATGACTTAATTGGTTTTGCTTTTTGCGCTGTTGCATCATTCCGAGACTATGAAGAGGCTGAAGCTTTTCAAGTTCGTTGTTTTCTGGTTGTTAACGAGAAGATCGTTTCCACTGGCTATTTGTTTAATGATTATGGGCATGAGGTTATTGAATCGGATCATGTATTCTTAGGATATGATTATGATATCATGGCCTTGGAATTGCTTACTCTCTGTTCGAATAGCGAGGGCTACGTGGAGTTCATTGTTGAGCATGGAAGTAAGAATAGCAGAAGAAAAACCAAGTTGAAAAATTGTGGAGTCAAATTGTTGTACGCCAAAGATAATTATACGAGAACAGATGGAAAAGTGGAAAGAGACCGGAGATTTCCAATTATAAATGGCTGCTTGAGGTGCTATCTCCATTGCTGCGTGGAACACGATGAAATGGACGAACATACACCATTTGAAATTTTAGAGAGCTGGTCCTCACATTCAGGAATTTACGAGCCACAAATAAGAAGGGATTAGTAAGTTGGATTGAATTCACAAAAATATTTCGGTTTAGTTTCTAATTTTTTTATTTATAGTTGCTATGTTATTATTTTTTTATTGATGTAAACATTCATTGTATTTCCAGTTTAATGTATATGCACTGCAAAGTGCTTGCACAATTGAATCGGAAGCGCATGGACTGGGCTACACCTATGTGAAACTTGGAGGTTGAAATCTTCTTATAGAATAGGTAATGTAACTCCAAACCCATGAGCTAAACTTATTGGAGCAAGCTGAAAGATTCCTTTTTACTTCCGCATAAAATGATGGCTGACGCTTGTGCACTTTCAGAACAGCAGGTTTCTTCTTGCTTCGGTAGGAAACCTTCCACAGGAAAATCAAGGCTTTTTACTCGATTTCTGGGCCTAAACGGAGGGGGGGGAGGGGGGGGGAGAATACAAATGAAACTCATGAAGCTCTGCGCTCATGGCTATTTATCAGCTAGCCTTCTGCAATTTATATTCACGTCCTAAGCTCTGCCGTTCTCCATTCTATTCAAGAATTGTGAAGTAGCTTTTTTTCTTATGTTATTCGTTGTGTTTTCAGACTGGCTTGATATAATGAGCACATGCTAATGTTTTAGCTGGCAACTTGGCGCATGGACACATTCTGATGACTGTCATCTCAATGTTTTCTGGATTTTCTTCCCTGGAATGACTACTCTGCGTGGACACATGCTGTTAATGTTTCTGGTGTTTGGTTTCTCGTTTCTGGACTGTGAAACGATGCTGATTGCACTTTAATTGGGTTGTAATTTGAATGTTCTGTTTTGCTTGAAACACTAGTTTAAATGAAGTTTTTGACTACCTGATTCAGAGAGTCGAATAATCATAACTAGGGATAAATATGTACTATCTACTTTTGCTCAAGTTTAGTTTTCTACTTTTCTGGCAGTGAAATGATGCTGATTACTCTATTCACTGTTGTAAACTGTTATCACTGGTTCATTCTGGTCTTCTTATGATGTTGTGTTAGGTTAATTGGTTTGTTTCTTCTATCCCTACTAAAACTCAAAGTTGTTTGTGTTGACCAAGGTTGATGTAGCTGGAAATGGCACGAGAAGTTGGATTCAAAGTAGTTTGGTCTGAGGGAGCATGTTGACCAAGGTTGACTTTTTCATTAAGGACAAAACTGTAAAAAGGAGAAACGGTGTCGTTTCTCTCTTTACCTTCCCTTTTTTGCTTTCTTCCTCCTCTCTTTTGTTCACTCACTTCTTCATATAAAAGTGAGTTGAGCTTCTTTGTAACAGTTTAGCTAATCAAGCAATACAGAGCATTCTTCTTCTCAAATTCTTCATTTTCTTTCTAATTTTACAGTTTGGACTTTCAATCAAGATTAACACTAACCTTACGTCTGAATGTTAAAAACTACAAGATATATACACATAAGAATTTATATATGAATATTTGGCATGATCAAAATCCATGGTGAGCCTAGATGATATATAGACATTTCACTTTTGCAGGGAGGGATCGACGATCAAAGAAATAGAAATTGTATATTGTGATTGAAATATACATTTCATCATTTAACAGTGAGCTGAAATTTGTGTAAATATGCTTGATATTATTGAAAAAAAGCTCTCTTATGAGTTTGAATATTAAAGGAGTTGAAAGATTTACATGATTTTCCCAGGCTCTTAAAAGACTAATACTCTCGTAACCTTGACATTGCATAGTCCAAAGCATCAACAAAAAAATCTGTATTTCCACAACAGAACAGTGTGATCAAACATTATGACAAAACAAATTTACAATAACAGATTCAATGGCTACGGGTAAAATCTATTTGATGAAAGGAAGCTACAGAAAGTTACCTGCATCATCTTTGGTGGTTTGATTCTGAAAACATTTCCCAACAAGAATGCCAAGCTCTGCAACTGTAACGAGTCAATGTAAAATGAGAATTAAGAGCTTTTCTCTGAAGAAGAGAGTTGGTTAACTGTACCTCTAAGTTTCTCAAACAAGACTGCAGTTTCAGCCTTCGCAGGCGTCTTCTCCTTCCTGTCAGTTACTAATTCCCTTCCTGTCAGTTACTAATTCTACTCCCACCATGAGTCCTCTCCCTCTCACATCTCCGATGGCTGAAACAAGATTTAATTAATGTGAGAAAAGGTGCATAATAAAATTGCAATTTCAAAGCATAAGACATTTAATCTGAGATTCTCAAACAGCTTTTCAATTGAACAAGAAAAAAGACAGCGAGAGAGAATCAGAAAGCCACAGAAAACTTTCATAAGATCTATGTGAAGACTCAGGATGTTTAGAAGTAGACATTGTGTGTCAGCAGCACAGAACATGTTATTATTAGTCTCTATAGTAGTCATATCATACCATCATTTCAATATGATGATGTGATGTCAATTGGTGCTTCCACCAAACATCTCCAGAATCCAAATGCCGTTAACAGCAGAATGATTTATTTTCAGTGTCGCATGAAAACCTATAGAAACAAAATAGATCCACAATTGGGTTTTTCACTCATATACATATTCCTGAGGAGCTTAGTTCATATAATTCAGGAGAGGAGTAGAAAGAATATGTGCGCATGCTGGCACATACACACTAACTCAAAGTCTTAGAATGACTGTAATAAGCTTACTCAGAAACTCTGTTTACGACATTTGTTTACATGATATAAAAAATATGNTTTATAGGGGTGGGGCCAGGCCAAGGCAAGACTAACCTCGGCCCCAGATTCAGGGATTGAATTTTGGCCCTGACCCGGTCCCATCCTTGAACCATTCGGGGTATCTCCATCCCGTTCACGTCGAGTCCTTGATGGGGTGGGGAAAATGCCCATCCCTAGAAATAAATAAAATCAGGATTCAGTTTTGGAGCAAGCCAAAATCATGCAAAAGTGTTTTCTTAATTAAATCTAGGGAAGTAATTTTTAACTTCCAAAATTTTCTTCTTTAGCCCCCATCTTCAACTTTAACTGAGGTTATAATTGTAATAAAAAAATTATTCTTCTTCCTCTATTTTTTCACCTCAAAGCTGTATATTTACAATTCTAAAAAATTAAAAGCAAATTTAAATCAATCAAAATCAACAATCAAGCATTGGATAACCAAATCAATCTATATTGTTATTGCACAAATATGGATTAATTTGTTTATGAAATCAAACCCTTAAAACTCTTACAATCAAGTAATTACATCTAAATCGCACATTGACAAAAGAAAATTGGATTTCATTCCCATTAAAACAAAACACCTGGTATCATAAATTCATTATCATGATTAATTTGTTTACAGAATCGCAACCTCAAAGCTCTTACAATCAAGCAATCACTTCTAAATCTCACATTGATAGAAGAAAAAACATGGTTTCATAACCATTAAAACAAAATGCCCGCATATTCCATTGATGAAATTTTCTATTTGATTGTTAATTTTGATTGATTTAAATTTACTTTTAATTTTTTAGAACTATAAGCTTTGAAGTAAATAGGGAGGAAGAAGAATATTTTTTTTTAATTAAAATTATATCCTCTCTTAAAAATTGAAGATGGGAGCTAGAGAGAAAAATAAGAGGCTAAAAATCACTTCCCTAAACATACTCCACTTTGTTCAAACATACTCCACTTTTATCAATGACTTAAATTCCATTAATGAAGCACTGTTTTAAAACCTGGACAGGGTCGGCTGGTCCGATTGGGAGCCGGGCTCAACTCTGGTCCAGGTTAATATTAAAATCGATAATAACTAAAGAACTGCTTCAAATCTGTAACGGATCGATGCTACAGTGCAAATCGGCCTGTCTGACCAGCCTAAAGCTTAATCTGGTCTGTTAGTTGAGCCAAAAAAAAAAAAAAAAAAGCCCTAATTTTAATTCCCTTACATTAGTTTCATTAGCCATTTCGTTTCTAAGTTTAACTTTCAATCGACCCAACACAACAAGCATCTTCCATTTTCATCTTCAATATTAGTCGAGCCAACAACAAGCATCCTTCCATGTCGAAATCAAATCTTCTTCATCTTCTTTAACTTCAACTTCAACAACAACGATCGAAACTCTAGAGATTCTCTTCATCTTCTTCACTGATTTTGCAGGTTAGATTCTTCATCTTCTTTATCCTCTTTTAATTCTCTAAATCTTCCATTTTCATCTCCAAAGGGGCCTAAACCCGAAAATGCTTTTTTCTTTTTACTCTTTTCATTGAAGTTCAACTTATCATGAATTTAATGTTATACAGATTCAGCAAGGATCTAAAAGAAGTTTTTTTTACTCTTCTTTTCACTGAAGTTCGACTTATTTGCATGTGAGTTCTTTTTAATCTTCACTTTACTTGATACTGTTTTACATATATAGGTTTTGAAATAAAATAGCTTTTGCCTTCGTAGTAATTGCTATATGGGAAACCATAATTGTAATGACTAATTAGGCTCTCAACTATGCTAATCAAATCAATTAGTGAGCAAATCAAGCAATAGAATCAGAGATTAAGTAAATCATGAAACTAAACAGAAAAAGAAGAAATAGACACAGGGGATTTATAGTGGTTCGGCTAAGAAAGCCTACATCCACTCTTCAAGGCACACTATAGGATATTTCATTAACCAAGAGAACCAAAGGTTACAAAGAGTAAACAATCAAAGAATAACAAGAAAGAACACACCCGTTTCAGCCCTCTCTCTACACCCTCTGTATTCGCACAAAATGGTCACAAATTTATACACATCAAGACCCCATTGATCATCTTCCAGCTATCCAGAAAAATCTGCAGTTTGTTAGAGCAGAGGAGCACTAGAATCTTCTATCGTTAGGCAAAGAAGGAACCAGAGAAGGCGTGAAAAGAGCTGCGCATTCTGTTGCAACATAATGAAATTCGTGTGCCAGATAAGGCACTTAAGTCTGATAGCTGAAACGCTACCGTATTGGTTTAATTTGAAGCTGACTTCTTTTACTGATGCTGACTCCATCGTGGCATACACAAGCCACATCATCATCACAATAACCTTTCGTTATTGATTAGAATTTTATGCGTTTCAGTTAACCTTCCTTTCATCTTTTAATGTTCAGACTTTGATTAGATGTATGCAACCACTTAGGTGAAATTAATTAATCGGTGAATTATATTCAATGTCTCATTGTCGTATACAAGAGACCTAGAATATAAGCACCAACTTTAAAACTACGATTCTATCGTCTATTAAGCATCCTCAAACTTGTGCTAAATACTGTGTGTATGTGTTAGGAATCGATCCACCCAACGCAGCAGAAAAACAAAATTTAAAGGATAAATCAATTCCTTTAAAACCCAAAATCAGAGTACATATTATATAGTTAATGTGTTAAATAAAAAATCTGCAGAAAATATAAATAATCCACACAAAGATCAAAGATCTTACGCATGTTTGGAGGCTCCTTCACTTTGTCTCTGATTTGGATTCGCTACTGATTCAAAGTAGAATCGAATGAATGGTGATCCACATGAAGACAATCCAAAGAACCAAAGAGGGATTTGCTAGATCCTCTTTGGCTTCAAGAATCAACTTGAATCAAAGAAAATCTTTGATTCAAGTACCAAGAGTGGCGTGAGAGAGTACAAGGGAGAGAGAGGGCATCCTTTTGCTTTTCAATGATTGAATAATAATGAGATTAGGTTATTTTTCTCTCAACACACATGCACTTATATAGTGCATGTGTGAAAACCCTAATCCTCTTAGGAATAGGATTGGGCTCTAACCCAAATTATCCCTTGTGTCCAAACACTCTCAATTTATATTTCATTTTAATTATTATTATTGTAATTAAAATCAATTAATATATTTATCAAATATATTAACATTTAATAATAATAATAATTCATTTAAATATATGCGTACATATATTTAAATATAATTCCACTGATTTGATTTAATATTACATCTAGGCAACAACCTCAACAAATCTAATTGCATTGTGAGAAAATACTCTTTTATCCAAAAGACGAAAATACACCTTGCACAAACTGATTCTCAAATTATCTTCTATGTGTGTGACCTGTAGGCTCCTTATCATATCGGCAGTGAGTAGTATCACGATTAATGCCAATTAATCGTCTCACTACACATAGACCAAGATTGGCCCCTAGCAAGGCATCATGGCCACCTGATAGATTTAGATTCAACGAAATAACTACCTATCAACGATATGGTCACCGTGCAATCAAATCCTTTCATCATGTGTTATCTCATCGAGACTGAGGTACATAAATAGTGTCAACCATAGTTACTCTCGATATGTTTGTATTCAGTTATTGGACCAATGACTAGAATAATAAATTAGATTGAGCAACAACTCAATCCCAATGTGGCCATAGCTTTAGTGTCATTGCAATTTACTGAATTGCGCAATGAGATAACTTCTCCCGTACTTGGGAGTGATGAATCCTCTGTTGATCCACCATAGTCTTGATACACTCCTCGATGTAGCCAATCACTACCATATTGATAGCTTTGAATAGAACTGTGTTGGGCTAGTGTCAAACTACACCACTCGATGCACAAGGCGCTCCGGTGATCTCAAGTCTAAGGATCACATGCACCACCATTCGTTAGATAATTTTTTCCATAGACACTAGGGTTACCATCTATATGGAATCCTCTGGTGGGTTAGTCTAGTGAACTTGCCTACAGTAAACACCCATGTGTTGCACCAAGTTGTCGATAAACAACCTTGACAAGTGAGATCAGTCACTATGTTTTGACATGGTTATTCAACACTTTGATAGCCTTACCATATTATCTATGTCCTTGGTCAGAATAATACTAGGGCTACGAACATTTCTAGAATGACCATCATATGTGATCATAGGGTTCTCACTATCAAGATTTGAAACACTTGATACCCTTGTCATGGTTCTACCATCCTAAGGATATATATCAATATATACAAATATGACTTACACGATATAGAATAAAATGCATTTCATTGATCAATAAAAAATATTACAAAGAGTCAATTCTACAATAATTGATTGGCTTTAGGCCACCTACTCTAATAGTATGTTCACATCTGCTTGTGTATAAGAATAAAGAGAAGGCTGATTT